CTCAACATTTTCAATCTAGAGAACCAACCAAATAATTAGCCCTTAAAAAATAAATCACATTCACGAAAGACCAGAAGAAGATGATGATGAGTCAGATTTTAGTTCTGAGAAAATTTTTGATGAGGAGATGGAGATATTAGAAAAATCATATCAGGTCTTTCAGAACAAGAAAACTGTGTTGAATACATGCTTCTTTAACATAACTTTTGAAGAAATCTTTCTTGATGAACTTAGATTCTTAGAAAATAAACAATAACCAAATTTTCATACCTCAACCATGAATCTTAGGGTTAAAGAAAGTGTCAAAGAAGAATTGGTTGTTAGAGTACAAACCTTCACAAAAAAAATCTAAGTTCAATAAGAAATTCAAAATACATAACACCATTAATACCTACCTCACATTGCTGCAGAAATCATTGAATGCCTTGGGGTTAACGTGCTATACTTACAGGTTAACGTACTATACTTTCAAGTTAACATGCTATACTTATAGGATAGTGTGCTATACTTACAGATTAACGTGCTATAATTACAGGTTACATGCTATAATTACAGGTTACATGCTATACTTACAATTCTTATATTTCATGCTATCCTTATAGGTTATCATTCTATACTAATATCAAATTCAACTAAAATTTCATCAATTATAACAAATTTAACTAATAACAAATTTAACTAATAACAAATTTAACTATTTTTATGAATTCAAATAATATTGAGAAATTAGTGTGAAATAATAATGTGAAATTAATGGGTGATTAATTACAATACCCCATTAACTAACATTTTATCAAAAATAACAAATTTAAAATTTTTTTATGAACTCATTTAACTAACAACATCAAATAATTGCCATGCATAAAGTGAAAAATTAGTGCTATAAACTAAGTAGTTGAGAAAATTGAAAAATTGTACCTTCAAATGCTAAGAAAGTTGGTGAGGATTGATGGGTTATAAGGGAGTGTAAGAAACTATTAATGGAGTGAGAGAAATGGAGATGAAGAGGGGGGAGGGAGAGAAGACATGGAGGGAAAGGGAGAGTGGGGGGGTTGATATTCTCGTCGATTTGTCATCCACTCCAGCGTTTCTCTCTCTCTCTCTCTCTCTCTCTCTCTCTCTCTCTCTCTCTCTCTCCCTCTCTCTCCATTTCCTTTATTTTTTTTCCAAAAGGGGCCCCACTTAATGAAGGCTATAATAGGAATTTTAAAAAAAATATTTAGGAGGACCCATATATGAAAGTATTGTATTTTGGAGATTGGGTTTAAAGATAAATATAAAAAGAGAGTTGGGCTTAGAGATACAAGTAATAATACTTGGGTTTAAATATAAAGTGGAGTAAACAAAAGGCCCAAAAATAAAAACCCCTTACTTTCATTTGGGAGTTCCATTTAGGGGCTGTTTGGTTGATTTCCTAGAATCAAAGAAAAAGAAATAGGATAAGCACTAAAACTTGTCTTCCATCCATTTCCTCAAAAAAAATCATGAAATAAGTTTCCTTAAAATTGTGTCACATCCTCCAATAAGATGATGACAACTCATCTACTCTTCTCTTTTTTTTTGTACTTTTAGAAGGTGAACCAAATAAAAGAAAAAAGCCTATTATAAAAAATATGTTTCCCATAATAGATTTTCTTTTTTTAACCAACCAAACATCCCCTTATAAGAATAGAATCCCCTTATAAGAATAGAAAAGAGGAATGAGGATAAAAATTTAACTAAACTCTTACCCCCGAATTGGGGGTGCGTAAAACACACCAGAAGAGCGAGGAGTAATAAAAAGAGAGTGGGAGAGTAAAATCTCTCTCTCTCTCTCTCTCTCTCTCTCTCTCTCTCTCTCTCTCTCTCTCCTCACCAAGGATCAAAATTGTTGCGTCGGATTAAGCTTTCCTAGTAGATTCATCAAAATCACATAGCCAGGGATTTTGATCACATTTGCTAATACCCTTTTTTTTCTCAACACAATTTAATCTCCTTACCATTGGTTTTCCTGTGATTTTGATGAAATGGATTCTCTTCATCTCTGATCTTCTTCCAAAAGTGCTCAGATGTGAGCTATTGAAGAAAAGACCACATTTTTATAAGCCTGGCTGGTACTCGATCTTCCGTCTTCATGCTTTAAGTGAACAATTGATCTCGGATTAGTTTCTATAACTTTATCCTTATACCATTGAAGTTGGTCATATGAAAATTTAGTATTACCATACAATTCACTTTGAGCTAGCTCTTTTCCCCCACCTATTTCTATGATAAGGGATGTCCAAACCAAATTCCATTTTAAGCTTCTTCTAGAAATCAATGGGGCGATAAGTGGGTTGTTTCCTTCAATATGGTCTTGAGATGATTAGCATTCCACTTACGAGATGCCCGGTGATATCCTTCTTTTCCTATGCCTCCTCCCAAGCAACTATAAGAACTACAGATTTTTTTTGACATATAATCGATCATTATCTCTACGACGGGTGCAATGAACCATCCATTCGCACTTTGCGGCCTTGCATTTTACTGTCACTCTTTTGTGTTCATTTTTTACAAATTCAAAGTTAAATCCTCGTGCAATAGAGTTATTACTTAAACTCCACCGACAATGCTCAACATTATCAAATTCTTGCCAACACTTCTAATAGCATTGTGCCATGCAATAGGAATCATACTAGAGCTCCCAACTTCCCAAGACATATTTGTGAAGACGATGAATTTTGTGAATGAGATACATGTTCGTCCCTAGAGGGGATATACATATTACTGCATAGAAAAATGTACAAGAGTTAAGAAAGTGATAATGTTAAAAGTATGAAGCTATATCAAAAGTGCAAATTACCTTATATGGACATTATTAGCTTGTATCCCAAATAATATTTCTCGATTCATCTTAGCGTTCATGACAACAATATTCTCCTTGCAACTTCGATGTACATTGACCATTATTGAGACATCATTATCATCACATACACGCACATAAATTTTTTGTATGGGGTACTTTGTAATTCAACTGTATCGTGTTTGCACTATAAGAAATTACGCTTTGCACTACAACCGCCAAATCCTTGTAACTCCCGTTGACATTTAATTTTAATTAAGAAGTGATTGTTTCCTCTAAAATCCGTCAATGCACGATACAATTCTTCATCCATCTATATTTGTCACAAAAAATAACCAAATTTAGGAAAAATTTCATCAAAGATAGACACCAAAAATCAATACAACTAAAATACTGCTACAGGTTAACGTGCTATACTTACAGTTTAACGTACTATACTTACAGGATGACGTGCTATACTTACAGGATAACATGCTATACTTACATGATAACGTGCTATTCTTACAGTTTAACATGCTATACTTACAGGATGATGTGCTATACTTACTGAATAACGTGTTATACTTATAGGATAACATGCTATACTTACAGTTCAATGTGCTATACTTATAGGTTAACGTGGTATACTTACAAATTAACGTGCTATACTTACAAGATAACGTGCTATACTTACATGTTAACGTACTATAATTACAGATTATGTGCTATACTTACAGGTTACGTGCTATACTTACAATTCTTGTATTTCATGCTATTCTTACAGGTTATCATTCTATACTAATATCAAATTCAACTAAAATGTCATCAATTATAATAAATTTAACTAATAACAAATTTAACTATTTTTATGAATTCATAAATAATATTGAGAAATTAGTGTGAAATAATAATGTGAAATTAATGGGTGATTAGTTACAATACCTCATTTAACTAACATTTTATCAAAAGTAACAAATTTAAATTTTTTTATGAACTCATTTAACAAACAACATCAAATAATTGTCATGCATAAAATGAGAAATTAATACTATAAACTAAGTAGTTGAGAAAATTAAAAAATTGTACCTTCAAATGCTAAGAAATTTGGTGAGGATTAATTGATGGGTTATAAGGGAGTGTAAGAATCTATTAATGGAGTGAGAGAAAGGGAGATAGAAGGCCAATGCATTTTTCTCAAAAATAAAAAAGATAGCCTTTACACGGTTGAATCCATAGATCCCCCCCTCGTCTCTCTCTCTCTCTCTCTCTCTCTCTCTCTCTCTCTCTCTCTCTCCATTTTCCTTTATTTTTTAAAAAGGGGCCCCACTTAATAAAGACTATAATGAGAATTTAAGAAAAATATTTAGGAGGACCCACATATGAAAGTATTGTATTTTGGAGATTGAGTTTAAAGATAAATACAAAACGAGAGTTGGGCTTAGAGATACAAGTAATAATACTTGGGTTTAAAGATAAAGTGGAGTAAAAAAATGAGCCCAAAAGTAAAAACCCCATTACTTTTATTTGAGAGTTTCATTTAGGGGCTGTTTGGTTGATTTCCTAGAATCAAAGAAAAAGAAATAGGATAAGAATATCACTAAAACTTGTCTTACACCCATTTCCTAAAAAAAAAAAATCATAAAATGAGTTTCCTTAAAATTGTGTCACATCCTCCAATAAGATAATGACAACTCATCTGTTCTTCTCTTTTTTTACGTTTAGAATGTGAACCAAACAAAAGAAAAAAACCTATTAGAGCAACTCCAACGGTACTTCATTCCTCTATAAATGGAGTACCATTGGCTCCAATGGTGCAACTGTAGCACCCTCTATATTAAGAGGGTGCTACAGTAACCCTCTATATTTGAAGGGTTTGGGGGTAATATAGAGGGATCCCTCTATAATACTATTCATAGATTTTAATTCCCATTTTGCCTTCTCATCTCATTATAACTTTTTATAAATACCAATTGTATCCTTGAATATAATTAAACTAATTATTTAACTTAATATAATTTTAAATTTACTCATCTATTTTAAATAAAAATTATATCATTGAAATTATCTTGCCGAAACCTTCAAAATGAGCCTAATATTTAAACTTTTAATATTAATTTAAAATTTATCATTATGAAATGTTGAAGTACAGAGAATTTAAAATACATCAAGCTTAAAAAAATTACATCATTCCTTAAAAAAATTACATCATTCCATTACCATGTCTTTGCCATAAATGTTCAATGAGTGCATTCCGAAGTTCAAAGTGAGCCTCCCGATCTTGGATTTTCCTATGTCGAGCGAGGAATCGTCTTAATCTTTCATCGTCATTGTCATCCATCTCGTCAGCATTTGAAGGTTGAGTTGAATCAACATTATCTAGTTCTTCTTCACGTTCATCCTCCACAATCATATTGTGTAGTATTACACAAGCAGTCATGATGTCATGTAGCACCCGTTTATCCCAAAACCATGCTGATCCTTTGATGATGGCAAAGCGTATTTGAAGTACTCCAAATGCCCGCTCCACATCCTTTCGATATCCTTCTTGCATGGCTGCAAAGTACTGCTTCTTTGGTCCTTGGGGTTGGGATATAGTTTGCACAAGAGTGGACCATTTAGGATATATTCCATCGGCCAAATAGTAACCGGTATCATAATCTTTTCCTAATATAGTGTAATTAGCCGGAGGAGCAGTACCCTGTGCAAGTTTATCAAATAAATTTGATGATTGTAACACATTAATATCATTGTTGGATCCTGGCAATCCAAAATAAGCATGCCATATCCATAAATCATATGACGCTACTGCTTCTAAAATAATTGTTGGCTTTCCTTGACGTCCTGAGTATTGTCCTGCCCAAGCAGTTGGACAGTTTTTCCATTTCCAGTGCATACAATCTAAACTACCTAACATTCCTGGGAACCCTCTCTCTTCACCTTTCTTTAGCAAACGTGTAATGTCGCTCGTAGTAGGGTGCCTTAGGTATTCTTCTCCAAAAACCTCTATAACAGCTCGACAAAATCTCTTCAGACATTCTATTGTTGTTGACTCACCAATCCTAATATATTCATCGGTTGCATCTGCCGATGTTCCATATGCTAGCATACGGTGTGCAGCTGTTACTTTTTGCAAGGTAGATAAACCTAATTTACCGGTTGCATCTCTCTTCTGCATGAAGAAGTTGTCATGATCTGCTACTCTATTGACAATGCGAATGAATAGATTCCTACGACATCTGAATCTTCTACGAAAAATAGATTCTCCATATGTGGGAGTCTCAGAAAAGTAATCATTCCAAAGTCTAGAGTTACCTTCTTCTCTTCCGCGATTGATCATCACATGGCCAGGAATCGATCCTCTTCGTTTTGGCCGCTCGTTCGCTTGAAGACGAGCATGCAATTGTTTTAAGATTTCCTCCTCCTCCTTCATCTCTTCTAGTTCCTGCTCCCAATCTTGAAAGTAGAAATCAAGGGTTTCACCATCGGAAGAAGAAGATGAGGAGCCCCAAATTTTAGAAGATGGTCCAGCACCAAAATTCATTTTGGATATGTTAAGAAAAAAGTGTTGTATAATTTAGGGAAGACTTAGAGTTCATATATAATCAAATTGTTCACTATTAACATTGGATTCCAATCCTATCTCATCTTTACCATTTTTGTCCACTACCCAGCATCGGATTCCAATCTCATCTGAACTTTAATCATTTTGTCCACTACCCAGCATTGGATTCCAATCTCTTCTGAACTTTAATTATTTTGTTCACTACTCAGCATTGGATTCCAATCTCATCTCATCTTTAATCATTTTGTCCACTACCCAGCATTGGATTCCAATCTCTTCTGAACTTTAATTATTTTGTCCACTACTCAGCATTGGATTCCAATCTCATCTCATCTTTAATCACTTTGTCCACTAACCAGCATTGGATTTCAATCTCATCTGAACTTTAATCATTTTTTCCACTACCCAGCATTGGATTCCAATCTCATTCACCTCTATTTAAGCAATGCATTCACACATATTCTCATTCTCTCATTCACAACTCTTCTCATTCACAACTCATATGGCTTCTCGAGGAAAGGCATTCTCCCACAAAGAAGATCAAGTCTTATGCTCAGCATGGCTTGAAGTGTCCCAAGATCCAATCTTAGGTACTAATCAGAGGAAGGAAACAATGTGGGTGAGGATCACAACTCTTTATCATCAGAATGTAAAAGATTTTGGTGGAGATCAAAGGAGCCAAAGGTCACTTGAAAGTCGTTGGGACTTAATTAAGAAAGTCATAAATAAGTTCAGGGGTTGCATTCGACAGATCGAGCGGCTTAATCCAAGTGGTGCTTCTGAATTGGATATAGTAAGTATCTAACTTTAAATTTATCATATTTTGTTATCCTGAAAATTTCTAACTTTTTTTATATTAGATTATTAAAGCTAAAGCTCTGTATGAGCAAGAATCTAAAGATAAGAAAGAGTTTCAATATGAACACATATGGCATATTCTAAAGGATGCTGAGAAGTGGGCTGACCCTACACCTTCAAAGATGACTGTGTCTGGAACCATGTCAAATGCCGAAGGATCAGAGTCGAACTCAATGGACTGCATTAATCTGATGGGTGATGAACAATCTCCTACCAACGCCTCATCAAGTCGACCCGTTGGAAGAAAGACGGAAAAGGCGAAGAGAAAGATCATCTCCCCATCTGAGTGTGATGTTGATATTCTTAAGAATATCAAAGAAATGCAGGAAAAACGTGAGCTTGGAAGGGACACCATGCAACAACTAATGATGATGAAATTAGAAAATGATAAGAAAAAATTAGATCAACGGGCTGTACAATTAGAACAGCGCAATCAACTATTGGCTCAACAACGTGCACAATTTCATCTTGAGCGTGATCGTGAGGATAGAGAAATATTATCAATTGATTTGAGTAAGATTGTTGATGTAAGGGAACATGCATTTTTTGAGAGGAAAAAACAACAAATCATTAGCAGAAATAGCGGTGATTTTCAATTTGATAGTTCAACTCATGTTTCAGGAGGAACTGGATATTGGGGTCCGTCAGGGTATCAGTACGGCACCGGTAGCTATGGAAATGACCTACCAGAATTTTAGACTGTTGTTACCGTATCTTACTTATATAATGTAATTTCTGTATTTCTGAATGTAGTTCCTATCTTAGTTATATAATGTAATTTCTGTATTTCTGAATGTAGTTCCTTTGGGGCGGGTTATATAGATCCCCACGTATTTATTTTATTAATGAATATTTTTATTTTATTCTATTAAAATAAACTAATTTAAAAACGACTCTAAAAATATTCAATATTAATCTCATTTAAAATGTTTCGGCGAGACGGTTCTAAATGTATAATTTTTGTACAAAAAATGATAAGTTTTAATTATTTTATTTACAGCATTAGTTTGTTAATGATAGATTAATTCATATAAATATAGAGTATACCATTGGAGCACAACTTTTACAAACCCTCTATATTTGAGGAATCTTGAAGAATATTCTCTTCAAACCCTCTAAATATGCAGTATACCATTGGAGATGCTCTTATAATAAATATGTTTTCCATAATAATTTTTTTTTAACCAACCAAACATCCCCTTACAAGAATAGAAAAGGAGAATGAGGGTAAAAATTTAACTAAATTCTTACCCCAAATTGGGGGTAAAACACACCAGAAGAGCAAGGAGTAATAAAAAGAGAGTGGGGGAGTAAAATCCTTCTCTCTCTCTCTCTCTCGCTCGCTCGCTCGCCGAGGATCAAAATTGTTGCGTCGGATTAAGCTTTCCCAGTAGATTCATCATCACATAGCCAATTGGGATTTTGATCACATTTGCTGATACCCTTTTTTTTTCTCAACACAATTTAATCTCCTTACCATTGGTTTTCCTGTGATTTTGATGAAACGGATTCTCTTCATTTCCGATCTTCTTCCAAAAGTGCTCAGATGTGAGCTATAGAAGAAAAGACCACATCTTTATAAGCCTGGCTGGTACTCGATCTCTCTCTCTCTCTCTCTCTCCCTCTAAAAATTGTATTTCATCAATGGAGCTGTGTTTTGTAGGAAATGTGTTCCCTTTTAGCTTTTTGATGCCTTTCTGTCGAATTTTCTGCCAATAGCTGTCTTCTTCTATCGGAATATTGTATATTTTCGTAAACTGTAATGTTGGTTGTGGATTTTGAAAGAATCCATCGCGATCCATGAATAGTTATTTCTCATACGCACGTGTGCAGTGCCATAGTTCTTTTCTAATGTTATAGTCTAGTTATCACTGTTCTTTCTCATATTATACTGTCCACATTTCATTAATGCTGGCTGTCTGCTTAGAATGAAGAAGAATGTGAACTATTTTCTTGGAAATAATGATGTTTGTAACTGTTATCTTATTTCTCATTTAGAAGAACACAAAGTTTTGGGTTTTGATTAGTTCCAAGAAGATATGGTGAATTTTGCGGCCTTCTACTTATTAGGGACTTTTCGGTGGAAGAATGTGCTGATATTCTCCTTTAATATTATTACTTCATCCATGGAAAGTGGTCAGCGAAGAATTTTCTGCCAATAGTGTCTTCTACTAACGAAACACTGTCTACCTTTGTGAATTTGTAATCGTGCTTGTGCATTTTCATAGAAGTTAACATGATTCATGTAGTTATTTCTCATTTGAGTTATACCTAACCATAATACTTTCTAATGTTAATGTGTGGATATCTCATTAATTCTTGCGAACTACTTAAAATGAAGAATGGGGACTATTTCTGTTTGTAACAATGATGTTTGCAACTCTTATCTCAGTTTTCCTTCAGAAGAACAGAATCTTCTGAATTTTGATTAGCTGGGTCAGAGGGTGCCCTTTTTATATTCCTCAATTTTCTCTGCAAGAGAAAGAAGATAAAAATCAGGTTGAAAGTTTCCTGCCTTCTACGTATTTAATTTAGAGTCAAGCATCAATGCATAAACATATCTGCCTCTTTCAATTTCCTGGAAGTTATTTGGATTTAATTTTTTACTTATATATATTCTGATTTTATTCCAGAAAGACTTGCTTATAATTGAGCAATTTAAGGTGCTTCGTTGATCTTCGGTGAAATCATTCAAAGTACACATGCAAAAATGTTTCTGAAATGCTTGTAGAATCTATGACTCTGTGTCGTTAGTTTCATTTGTTATCTTTTTGGAAATATCTAGTGATGCATATGAACTTGAAAAAGTACATGCATTTAATTCTAGTCCAACTTGTCCTCTAAAACCAGTTTTTATGAATATTATTATGAAACCTTCTGTTACATTATCAAGAGGCTGGTGGGAAATTCTAAAATTCTTTCTTCTATACCCCTGTCTAAATGTAGTATTCTGGTTCAATACAAATAGAATATAGAAGTTTTCATTTCTTTTTATTATTTGATCAAATCTTGTTGATTATGTTGATGAAATAATCCTTTCTCATGGGATTTATGTTCACAGAATCAAAATCCTAGGTCGTAGTTTGATAATACTGGAATGTTATCTGCTTTGTTATCATTTGACAATAATATCATGTAATGCAGTATTTCTTAGAATATTTTCATAAAGTTCAGTTATACTACTGGATGGTGATTTCTTTTCACAAATCATGCTTAGTCTTAGTTCTCGTAGCTTTTTCCCCTCATTTCTTATGACAATGCTAATCTTTGAATATTTTTCTAATGTTCTTTAGGTGTTATTAGGTGAACCATCCTTGAGTAAAAGTTGAAATCCAGTATGAGTACCGCTGGACAAAATGACTGGGATGATGAAGAATACTCGGTAATTGGAGAAAAGGGAGAAGTTGGCTTCTTAGATTTTGAGGAAGAGAAATCCCTCCATAATTTTGACCCTGCTGAAGATGGCCCTGTAGTTATATCACTGCCTTTTCCTCTCATTAATGGAAAGCCTCAATCCGCTCTAATTGGAGAAACATCTGCTGACTCCATCAGTATCAAGAACACCACGGATGATGCAATAGATTTGTGGAGTGTTCGAATCTACTCCTCAAATCCCGAGGATTCCTTTGTCCTGTCTTTGATGAAGCCTCCATCCTCTGATGCCGATGAAGAGGCAGTTAATGGCTTCATGGGTTTGACTACGCTAGAAGATAGAGTGCTTCAACCTGGCAAAACTCTAACAATTTGGCTCTCATGTAAACCAAAGGAGATCGGTTTGCACACTTCGGTTGTGCACTTTGATGTCGGGGAGAAAATTGAGAGAGTGGTCTTTTTGTTAGCAGAGGATAAGGTCTCGCAAGCTTTGTTTTCCTCAAAACCTTATTCAAAAATCCGCTCTCAAGAAAGGAAGTTTAACTATGATCAGTATGTGGGTGGTTACCGCCCACCTCGTCCTGCTGCACAAGGCCAGAAATTTAAGGTTCCACAGTTTCCTATACCCAAAGATATCCGTGAAGTTATTGAGAATAAACAAGTTCCCGATGTCATTATGGAAGGATTGCATAATAGGAACTACGCTAAGTACTTCAGCACACTAATTGTCATGGAAGAAATTAGTTTAGAGGTAATTCTTAATAATATTTCAAAGGGTTGATTGCGGATAAGCCCTATACTATGACCAAATTGAACTTGCTATCCCTATAGTTCTATTTGTTGCAGATAGACCCCATAGTGAAAGTTTTTGACTCTTTTCAGGGGGTCTATCTGCACAAATTGGTTTTCACTCAGGGAATTTAGCTGCAACAATAGAACTCTTTCAGGCGGTCTATCTGCAACAGAGAACTTCAGGGGTGTGGTGATAGTACAGTGGGTCTATCCGCAATTAACCCTATTTCAAAATGATTTGATTTAAGTGCTGTATGTAAATCCCTACTTTGCATGCTAATTTTTTGTTTTGTTTCAGGAGAATATGAGATCTCATGACATGGAGTGTGTAACCATGAGAAGGAGGGGGCACCAATTTTTGTCTCTTGAAGTTCCTGGATTAGCTGAGCGAAGGCCTTCTCTTGTCTATGGGGACTATATATTTGCGCAAATTGCTACTGCAGAAACACAACATGATAAGCCTTATCAGGTATCCACTCATTCAAAAATCTTAAGTTAGACCATCTAGAATTATGTAATGAACTGTGTTTTTTCCTTATACCCATTTTGTGATTTTTTTTCAGGGTTACATTCATAGGGTTGAGGCTGAAGAAGTATATTTGAAGTTTGATAAATCTTTACACCAGAATCATCGGGATGACAACCTTTATAATGTCAGGTTCACATACAATCGGACAAACATGCGAAGGCTATATCATGCAGTTCAAGCTGCTGAAAACTTGGGACCCGAGCTTCTCTTCCCCTCTCATTTACAACATAAAAGGGTTATAAAGACATCAAAGTTAAATCCTTTGAATCAATATATTAACAATGAACAATCAATATCTGTTGAAAAAATCCTCGGGTGCAAAGGAGCTCCTCCTTATGTAATCCATGGGCCCCCAGGCACTGGCAAAACAATGACTCTAGTGGAGGCAGTCCTTCAACTCTATACATCACGGCGAAGATCTTGGATTCTTTTTTGTGCCTCTTCCAATAGTGCGGCTGATTATGTTTTGGAAAAACTTATCGCTAATGAGGAGTCCGGATTTCGTAAAAATGATATATTTAGGTTAAATGCGATAACCCGTCCATATGAGGATATTAAGCCTGATTTACTTCGGTTTTGCTTCTTTGAGGATATGGTTTTTAAATGCCCCTCACTTAGAGACCTGCGGCATTATAAGATCATCATATCGACTTATATGAGTGCATCTATGTTATATACTGAAGGCATTCGAAGGGGGAATTTCACTCATATTTTCCTGGATGAAGCTGGCCAAGCTTCTGAGCCAGAAACTATGGTTCCAATTTCAAATTTGTGTGCAAGAGAGACTGTCATTGTTCTTGCAGGAGATCCTTGTCAACTGGGTCCTGTTATTTATTCGAGAAGTGCTGAGAGTTATGGTTTAGGAAAATCATACTTGGAAAGGCTCTTTGAGTGTGAACATTATGAAAGAGGGGACAATAATTATGTAACAAAGTTGCTAAGAAACTATCGGTGCCATCCAGCAATATTGGAGCTCCCTTCAAGCCTTTTTTACCACAGTGAACTGATTGCTTGCAAAGAAGACAATGACTCTTTTGATTATGACTGCCTGGAAATCCCAAACAAGTCTTTTCCTGTGTATTTTATTGGAATTCAAGGATGTGATGAGAGGGAGGGAAATAACCCCTCATGGTTTAATAGGACCGAGGCAAGTAAAGTGGTAGATATCATCATGAAATTGAGAAGGAATAGTGATCTAGATGAGGCAGATATTGGGATTATTACACCTTATCGTCAGCAAGTACTAAAGTTAAAGAAAGCACTCGAGTCGCTTGAATTGTTAGATGTGAAGGTGGGAACTGTTGAACAATTCCAGGGGCAAGAACGGCAAGTTATAATTATATCTACCGTTCGCTCAACTATTAAACATAATGACTTTGACCAGATGCACAATTTGGGATTCCTTACCAATCATAGGAGATTCAATGTTGCAGTTACTCGTGCAAAATCCTTGCTTATCATCATTGGAAATCCACACATCATTTCAAAGGTAGCATTTATCTTTTATTTGCTTTTCTCTTCCTGCCCAATTAATCTGCTACTATTATTAATTACGTATCATCTTCAGTGCTACGTCATTGTGATTTGAATATCATGCTCATAGTCTGGCTAATTGCACAATATACGAAATACTCGACAATAATTATCAGAAATCTGGATTCAAATTTTTTGCAAAGGCGATGCTGAAAAGTCTTATAATCATGCATCACTTGCATGCATCTGAAAGAATGATAACTTTTTGTTGAATGGTTCTTTGAAATGCAATTTTGTATCTTAATTACACAAGCAAGAACATACCTGTGCTCTGTATTTTTTGGGTTGACATCTTTGGTTTTCTATCTTATATTCCATAATTGTATAAGAACAAAAAAAGTTTAGTTATGAGTTTAGTGTAAACATTCTAAAATAATTATATGGTTCTTGTAGAAAACTTTAGTTCATTTGAATGACATGAAAAATCGGCTATTTCTTTAGCTTTAGCATTTCACAAGCTGAAGCAAAGAGTCCGAAGCATATGCAAGCTTTTAAAGCTTTGTGTCGAAGGCTTTTTAATGTCAAAAGATGGATACATCTTTTGCTATCTCCAGATAATGTTTCTAGCACCCTGTAAACTAGTTAGTAGCTACAATGTCACACATCATGTAAGCATAACATAACTTATATTGGCACATTGATCCAAGCTGCTACTACTGACAAATGTTCACAAGTCATTGCATTTATTAATTCTTAGGGATACTGATGTGTTTTGCTATTCTACAAAATAAGTTGGATAAGGAGTAATGATAATGGATTAACTATATAACTTAGGCTGGCCTGCATGAGACTTCCATCATTTTGGGTTTTAAGGAGGGTTAGATGTATGCAGTCTTACCCCCGCTTGCGGAGAGATTATTTCGAGATTCGAACAAGTGATCTCTAGATCATAAGGCAACAATCTTACTGTTGGGTCAAGGCTCACATTTGTTAACTAGATTATTTGTACCATTGTATTAGCGAGGATATATTTCAATAAACCCTTTGCACATTTTTTACTTATCCCCACTAAAGCTTTAAAAATGCAACTTAATCCCCAATGAGTTTGGGCATTTTTCACTTAACCCCAAAAACTTTGAATATATCCTTAACCCCCAACAAGTTTGGGAAGTCCATGAAACTCCTGTAACATTTCTAGATCCGGATATAAATTGATATTAAATAAAATACTTACCCAATTGAAGACAAAGACAGTTGCAGTCTTCAGAGAGTAGGAGTCGAGAGCATGACAATGAAACAAAATCGTGCCGATTGTCACTTCTATAAAATAAAGAAGCCAATGGAATAATATTATTCTACACTGCTACTCTCTTGCAACAATGTTTTTTTAACCCATAGCTCCTCTGGAAGCTACTGCACTTAGGTCTAGAGGTTAGCTTTACTTAATTTGTTTCCTATTTACTATGTACTAATGTTTCAATTAACCCCTCAATCAATTTATATATATTATTATAATTATTAATACAACTTAAAGAACTCTAATATTTAAGATTTATAATTTGATATAACTAAGTAAATAGTTGGAATAATCACTAGTGTAAATTGTACTCTATTATACTTTTAGGGTTTTTCCTTATAAAATACCTTTAATAGGGATTATATAAAAACCACCTTTCATTTTTAGTTTATACGTAACCCACCTTTGAAGTGGGTTTTTGTTCTAATAAACCACCTCCCATGCAAAATTTTCACTTATAATCCAAGAATACCCTTTAAAACTAACATCAAAGACACGTGATTCACTTTGTTAATGTTTAGGTCTAGTTAGAATAGAAGTAAAGTACCTTAAATGTAAGGTTATTTTTTATTTTTTAGCGAAATTTTGACGAGGAGGTGGTTGATTGAAGCAAAAACTATCACACCTGTGGACTAAGACTCACATCCCGAGCATGTGACTAGGCTATGCAGCATATGCAATTGGGCCAAACTCCACCCAGAATCATATACTTAAATCTATAAGCTCATTCTATACATACATCGCATTTATCCAATATCTAAAGTAACAACATATAATAACACAAGCATGAATAGAAACTAAATAGCGGAAGCAAGATGAATATACTCAGCAATAAATCCCATAAGTCCTTATAGATATACAAGTATGATACACCAAGTCCTACGTATGAATCATAAAGCAACAGATACATAGATAACTCCCAGAAGCTTATAAACAACAGCCACTACTAGCTATAGAAGTCTTCTACATCATAGATGGTAAGTATACAGAAAAACCTGAACGTAGTATAAAATAACTGGTAATGATGGTGGATAACTCTGGATGGTCCTACGAATTATCATCTCCTGACATCTCGAATCTTCGAAGGATGGAGTGCCTATAACCATGGTAACAGAGGTGCACCTAGATAAATCATATTCGAGATAGGATGTGTTTGGACCTATTTGCAATTGTGCTCTAAGTTTTTGTTCCTGTATGAGTACAGGGTTATTGAAGCCCAGTGTTGTAAAAAGCGGCGAATCGAGGCACTATAGCGCCACGGATCACGGTCGTGGAGCTTCCCCGCCCTGCTTAAGGTGATTGCGGGGAGTTAAGGCGGAGAAAACCGCTAATCGCGCGAAAAGCGGGAATAACCGGCGGTTTAGCGCTGAAAAGCGCTATTTGCCGCTACAGTTAAACCCTCTCCCCAAACCCGACCCGAACTTGTACCCATTTTACTTAAGCCCTCTCGCTTCTGATTCCCAAACCCATCTATGCCCTAGCCGCCTCTCTCCCGACTCCTGCTGCCTAAACTCCGATTCCACATTAATAAGGACGACTTCCGCCGTAACGTCGCTTCCGACCACGTAGACTCCCGCGCACCAGCAGCCCTCCGTCACCATCTCTCTTCTCCGGTTCAAAGCCATCTATCTCTCTCTTCAAACGAGCCAACCGCCCGCCACAATACATCTCCGGCGAGACTTCACTCCCTGTCAAGCCGCCCCCGCTCACTCCAGCAGCACCTCCGGAGTCTTGTGAAGCCCATCTCTCTCTCCCTCCCCGGTAAACCTATCTCTCTCACCGTCTTCCCTCCGGCAACACTCCAGCAACGTCTTCCCTCCGGCAACACTTCTCTCCGACCCCATCTCTGTTGGGCAGCGTCTTCGTCTGCAACATAGAGAAAAAGTAATAAACTAATAATTCAGGTAAAAAAGAATATTTATGAGATTTATAAGATTATATTGATGAAGCTAGTGCTTGATTCTTTGCAAATAAATCTCTATTTGTTCGAGTTGTACAATAAAATGGTTATTGAACACTTGATATCTTTATTCAAGCAGTTTATTGCTTACTTTTCATGAGTAGTAGGGTTCTGCGTTACTTTTTTTTGGCTTTATTTTATTCAGTATATATTTTCTTATCGACTAAAAATTAAACTAACAATCAAAATAGTTGTCATAAAAGATTATTTAGCATATTTAAATATATATATATTTGACCGCTATTTGACTGTGCGCTATTTGCCGCTATTTCGCCGCAATAGCCCGAAATAGCCTTAGCGGTACCTCGTCGCGACGCGTCGCGATCCGCTATCAACAACCTTGTTGAAGCCCTTCTTTTTAATAAAGGAAAATTATTCCAAAGTCCTACTTCTAGTCAATTAAGAATAGGCCTAAACACATCATATCTCGAATATGATTTCTCTAGGTGGACCTAACTTGTATGAGCCTTAATTTAGGCTGGACCCACACAACAGATGGATGAGTGGCCAATTATCGATGGTAGTTCATGCTACATCGACATCGAATTTGAGAGCAGTTAAGTCAAAATTTAGTAAAAAACACTTAGCTTGACCTACACTCAATAGTAGGATGAGCAACTGTCAACACTAACTCGACTGTGAATAAAAATCGAGAATGATTTCCTCTTACCGTCAACAGTATGAAGAAGCAACTGTCAATGGTTGTCCTAGGTAGTTTCTGTTTTCGATCTTTTTGATCCAATAACTCATTTAAACTGAACCAAATTCAAATCTACTTCAACCTAAGATTCATACGTCCGTTGTGAGCTCTCTGAGAACAAGTTTCACATCAAATAGATCGAAACCCTAGGATCTACCGTAGCTTGAGCTTGAAGAGCTATTTCTTCTATGAAGATGAAATCTTGCTCCATAATCAATCACCATACTAGTTCCATCAATCTTAGAAACTATTTCCACATATAAAGACCATGAAGAAACAATTTAAATCACAAAACATGCATCAACTCGAATTTGAACAATTAGGTCTTTCTCCTTTCTCTTGAAAATAAGATATCAATTTAGTGCAAGAGATTTCCTCCCGTTGACAATTATCACGAAATCACAGCAGGAAGAACTCCAAAGAAATCAACTAAAAAAACCATTTCAAAAGATATAGGAGCAAGATCTATAGAACCCGTAATTTATAATTTAGAACTACAACATTTTGAGCAAGAAAACACTTGTCTTGGGGTGAAAATCTCTCGACCTCCAATCTTTCTAACTTCAGCCCTAGTTTTGAAAAATAAGAGATTTGTTATATGATGAGTTTCACTAATGGGTTAGGGTTAATGGATCTCACCCAATAAGGATCCAACACATTAAGCCTTAAAATGAATTAAGCCCATTAGTTAATGTTTAAACCTACTCTTGGCTCAACTTTGTTTGTGGAAAAGATTTATAAAACTAACTCTTGAGAACATTATAAAAGTTTGAGAGGAAACAAAACCAAAAAATACGCGAAGTACACATGGCGCAATATCATGTCACGAGAAAATCTAAGGGCTCAAAATCAACTGGATCCCATAAATAGTCTAGATCAACCCGATCTGGGGTGGATCCTTTATAATAACCCACCTTAAAGATGGTTTTTATGTATAAATTAAAAATAGAAGGTAGCTTCTATGTAATTACCATATTTTTAAGGTAGCTTCCTGGAAAACCCATACTTTTACTACGATTAGTGTTGTTACGTACTATCTATCCCCTTAACAACAACTTT